TATGTTTTTTTTTCTTTTTAAATTTCATAAGCTTTACAAAAAAAGAATACTTTGAAAAAAAGAATAGTTTGCCTTACCGAAAGAATAGGTACCTTATTGAAATATATTGAGGAGCTCAAATTAAATTATTATTTTTTTTTAATTCTTAATTTTTGTCCCTAATTTATCTAACTGAAGATGTTATCAGTTTATTCTACAAAAGTAAGCGCAAAAATGTATCTGTAATTTATTCAACGTAGATAAACATTGTAGTTAATTAATTCCAATTTTGTAATCGTTATGAATGTGTAATACGTAACGATAAAACCAATTGATGGTTGAGAAAACATTGTTTACGTACTATACATATGATAGCATTCATAATACAAGTAGGTATATTAATAGTTCAAAAGATTATTGCAGATATTTTATTTACTATAGAATTTGGTATTGCTATTTATTATTAGAAAATAATATTTTCTCTATTAGTTTTGTAAAAAAAAACAATCTTATTGTTAGATATATGTACTTATTATAATTTATAATAGTACACCAGGTTAGCAGGTTGGTTGCACGTGACCAAGTACACGAACGAAACGAAAAGATAGCCATGCTTCTTGAGCGATGTCTCCCTTGTTTTCTTTTCATCTCTCTCTGAACCGTTAAATAGGTAGACGACGTTGTTTTTCCAACAGTGTCAAGTTGGCTTTCTGAGCGAAAGTGTGTTGTCGGCTCATTTATTATTTATACGTCGTCATCAATTTTTTCGGGTTTTCGACAATTATTGAATTAAACCGTGTGTTTAATTAAATGCAGAAATGTTTTCAAGCTTTGTGAAACTAAATGTACAACGTACAAGCCGAGAAATAACAAAACAAATAGAAAGACATATTAATAAGACGAGTAGTGCCCCAAACAGTGATATTTATACACTTCAACAAAATGATAGGACATCAAACAGGAAGTCAAACACTAACAGTATGTGGCTGTTACACCAAAGAAAGCACAATAACGATAGGTACGTGGATATTTAATGCTTTTGTAATTAATTAGCTTTTGCGTGTTCGACTTCAGACAAATTAACAAAATTTTATGAGTAGCACTTTTAATGATTTTTTATATGTGCCTAATTCTGGATGTATATCGAGATGATGCCAAGTCTGATCTTCAGTATATATTTACCATTTACTTCTTTAGCCAGTACATTATATATAGTGGATCATCTGCTGCCTACGTGACAAAATCGGCGTTCAAAAAACATGTACCGGCATGTATGTTCTACCCTAATTTTTGTAGGAAAATCGCTTATCTAATAGTTATAAAAAAAAACGTAAAATTGTATAATGCATAAATGACATAAATTGTATTACACATTTGGATTTGCTGTCTCTTAAATCGTTAATGTTAATTCAAAATTGTAAACAAATACTAAAAAGAATGCTCAAATCAAACTGTTTGTAGGTAAAATAGTTTATTTACCGTGAAAGATCAGAGTCAAAATAGGGTTGCAAACAATTTTATTGATGTAAAATTAACATCATTCATTTTATATAAAAATATTTTCAACAGCATTTTGTTTCAGATCTTTTACACATTGTAATAAGAGAAAGAAATTGAATTCAGTTTCTTTAGTTTTGGATTCATCTAATAAGTGAAGTTCTTCGAATCGTTTTCTAACAATTTTGGATTATAGGCATTTATTAGCAGATCATAATATCTTGTAGTTTTCAGTTTTACATAGCTGGCGTATATCAATTCGATATTATTTTGCGGGCTGTTATATCGTAATTCATAGAATTTCATAGTTCCCTGCTAAAGATACAATAAGTGGTGATTTGGCAGGTGCTAGCATCAATTTGGAAATTCAAAATTCCATGGACCATGAACCCGGTAAACGATATCGATCCCATATTTTAGATTATCCGATTCCAAGGAATTTAGAATTTTTCTTTTCAGTTAAACAATTAGAAGCCATTCATGGAATGTCTCTTTGTTCCCCTTTTAAGTTTCTAATATTTACAAAAATTTATTATGCGTCTTACAGATACGCTTGGAAAAATATAAAGTGCTTTTCTCGAAAGAGTATTTAAATGCAAGATAAAAATAGGAATTTTTATTTTGTATTTGCATTTTAAATGCAAGTATTTTAAATAAATCACATCTCTGTAAATTAATTATCCTATGAAAGCTAAGGTTGGGAGAAACAAATTTATGCTGGTTGTAATTATCGTTAATTATTTTCAGTCTGCATTTGTAAATTCGGTATATTTATTTATTGGTTTTTTTAATTATTTCTATTTCGAGAAAGTGGAAATTCTTGCTTATGTCCTGTCGAATAAATTTGTAGTAACACAACACAACCCGCACTAACAAAATGTACAATGAATAAGATCGCCAAAAAAGTACGGTATAGCATTCTGCACAAAATATTTAAAAAATGTTAAAATTTGTATATTTTTTATTTTGTTTCATCGCTATTATGATTATGTTGAAGTGTGCTCATACTATTTTCTCAATATATGTATGTTACTTTTCCGTTAAACAAATTTTCGTTTTGTTTCAGAGCTTTATCGACTGTACATGCAAAGATTTCACCGAAACTAACAAATGGAAAAGTTTCATTTGTTTCCAAAGAAGAAAGTCGTGATTTTATGGCAGTTTTCCCCGATCTAGTCCGCGATTTAACCGAAGCTGGTCGTCATACTGACATACCAGAAGTCACTAAACGGTTTGCTAAAGTACTGCAGTACAATGTACCTTATGGCAAGAAGACCAGGGGCTTATTCGCTGTTAAAGCGTATAAAATGCTGGAAAATCAACAAAATTTAACCCCGGAATCAATTAGGCAGGCGATCATTTTAGGATGGTGTGTACAAATGGTATGTTTTTTTTTCTTTTTAAATTTCATAAGCTTTACAAAAAAAGAATACTTTGAAAAAAAGAATAGTTTGCCTTACCTGTATATTTGACTTGATGATGTAATTCCTGCGATCATGTTTATTCTGATTATGATATTGAGTGCATTTTTAAATGTTGTGTAATTTTATCGAGCTTGCAAATTTTCAATAAAAAACGTCACAGTTACCATAAACTTTCTTGGGAAATCTTATTATCTCGGAATATGAGCTGTTGCCATTGCTTTTGATAATTTGTTGTTGAACTTTATCGTTTATCTATTAGAGGATTAAGTAATTTTATTTCATGAACGAATTTGATATGTACATGTCCCAATCGGATAGTACAGATATAGGTACAGGTAAAAGTGTAACAATTTCAAGTAGCAGCAGTCCGGAGACGTAGGTACTCGTGTAAAATTAACAGTATTGGAACATTTCACATCGAGTTCAATGGTCTTTGCGGTAAATTAACTGTAATTTAACAAGCAGTGATCACTGTGACACCTTTATCCTTTTGTTATCCCACTTTCCGTTATTTTTTATTTTGGCGAAAGTGGCCAAATAATGCTCGAAATACAGGATGTCTCAAAACGGAAGTATGATAAAGAGACGTCTCCTTGCAGTATGCATATAATTAATTGATTTTTATTGCAATTATCGTATCGAAAACTGCGAAATAGTGTTATCAGTGATTGGTTTCGGATAGGAAATTGTTATTTAATTTCTAATTCGTGAATTGATATTGGTAATAACTAATAACCATTTACACACAGATTACACATTTTGTCGTAAAGTTGACTCATACAGTCAATAAAGGGAAGGGTAGAATTGTATGGCTAAAATTAAAATTCTAAAATAATTAAAAAAATCGTATAATATGCATTTAGTCACTTGAAAGAGAAGTTTATCTTTTGTAAAAATCAATAAATAAAAATTATCTATCCCAACTTTTTAATTGGTGTATAGTTACATGAATCTCTCTCTTTTTTAATTATTTTAGAATTTTGCTTTTGGACATATACTGAAGACATTTTCCTATAGAAAGTATGTGACCATACCTGACTGCTTCATTAAATTGCTTATCATTTACTGTAAAAAATACCAAATTGTCCTTTTCCAGATCAAAAGAATAAAACCAGTCTCTTTTAGTAAAAAGGGTTGAACAACCTCTTAACTAAAGGCGCAACGTCGCTGTTGATTTTACATTAATAAAATTGTATGGGTATCTACTGCCCTATTTTGGCTGTGATCTAATCTGGCCTATTTAACCCTTATAAACCGTTAATTTTTGTCCCAATTTGCGTATGTTCGGATGTTAGGGGCGAAAACCATGAATAGGTACAATTATTTTAATGCAGTGGACCGAAAAAAATATAAATTTCCGTTGTTGTTAAAGGTCCTTACTAACAGTAAGGTATGAATTAAATTTGAAATCAAAATCAATGTGTGTATCTTTTCGTATTCGGAAGTATTGTTGTAGTATATGGAAGATTTATTTACTTCGAATAAGAGTCAGTTGTAAGCAACGTGATTGTTACGATTCTCGATTTTTTAATAGCGTATTTAATTTTCAAGGTAACTTTTTGAATTTGTAATTAAAAATTGCTCGTATTATTAGAGCTATTTATAGGATGTATTATTTGTACAAGTTTTGTATAGGTATTTACCTATTCTGATTTCGTAACCATATCGTATTTCAAACGGCACTTAATAAGATAACTGTTGACTTGGAAACAGTTTTTATTTGCTTAACATCAGGTGAGAATCGCGTGAAATTATAACAACACAAACGTGATAAAAACATGTTAAAATGATGGAGAAAATAAACTGAAAAATTTTAGCACCTAAAATAAGGAAATGCTTCCTTTAAATAGAATAAAAAGTTAACGGAACAGAAAGGCTTTCACTAAATGATTAGTCGGGTCTTCGTGGGAGTGCCAAAATATATACTAAAACTCATATACAATGTGTATTTATGTAGTTATATTTCATTGTAAAAACAGAACACAAAAATATGGCGGTCTTTGCCAGAAGAATCTGAAATATTCAAATTTTGTGCTGTTGCATTATTGTTGTCCAACCTATTATGTAACTAAAAAAGGATTACAATATTAAATATTAATAAAGCAAATTTAAAAGTTTAATAGGTATTATAATGACAATCTCGCTTTTGTTATTTGAGGTTTTGTAACAGTTTATTTATTCTTTAAGATAAAAAATTCAGATAGAAGCGTTGTTTTTGAACTTAACCTTGCAATTATCATATTAATACTTTAGCAAAGTTTGACCTATGTTAAAAGATGCAATTCCAAATTTCTACTTCTAACTTAAAATCTTAATTGAACTTAAACCAAGACAGTCTATTTTTTTTTATAAGTGCATGTAGCTGTTAACAAAAAAAGGCTATTACTACTAGGTACAACGCAATACATTACATAGATGTTTTCAGTTTAAAATCGAAATTTCAAGTTGCAAGTCGAAATTTAAAAAAACCTTGACCCTTCTCTGCGTTCGTGAGTGCAAAATTGAGTAAAAATTGTTTTGTATAAAGTGCGACACTTTAATGGAGAGTACAGTATATCGAACGGCGACTCTAATACAAATAAATAGCTGTGCGTATCTTTTTGTTGACCTCTTAGACCTTCCATCTTATTGTTATTTTTAGTTACACATCGTATATTATCTGTTTGTTCAGTTCAAATGTATGCACTTGTGGTAGTAAGCGTTTTTTGTAGTTGATAAGGACATTTGAATAAAACATTTAAAACAAAAATGGACCTGCTTAGAAATAGTTTCGTTTCATCTTCAGGACCTTTTGGGAAACAATAATGCGATGAAAATCTAGAATCGTGCAGTGGTGGATTTACACATATTCCGCCAGTAGGCTATTCAAATTTTGCCGCCAATTATATTAATTACATTTTTTTTTGTCGAAATTGTAACTATGATTTGTGCATTATCGTCCTAATTACACTACCTTTTTCCCGTAATTAGTATGATTGTGAACTAGGGCATCGATGTGTCAGTTCCTAGTTTATTTTTACAACCAAACGATTTAGTTTGGATTTCAGATCAGTACACATTTAGTGAACGATCATCTCATGAATGGTGAAACTTATTACATATTGAATTGTTTATGTGAACCTGATAATATTTCGGTATTTAAATATGATATTTTTTAATTTCTGTAAGACAAAAAACAATTTTGGTCCCAAATTTGCCGCCCTAGGCTCTAGCCTACTCAGCCTACCGGTAAATCCCACACTGGAATCGCGAATTTCACTGCAGGTGTTTATGTTTTTGTTTGTCATTAATCGATTGTCTGTGAAATTGTCAATAATACATTGTTGAATAATATACAATTTATTTTTTTATTTGCGTAGTAACATTATACTGAAGCGAACATTGAATTATATAACAACATAATGGTAATAATAGTAAACTAATTAACAATTAGTAGGTAATCGAGACAAAAAATACATAGTTATTTGCTTTTCTTTTTCTAATAAACTTTACAAACGACACGCAAAAATACCTGAAAGTTGAATAATAATAATTAGTACCTACGTACGCATGTATATTGGTACATCGTTAACAATGGAATAAATTGAATATTTCATCTATTACTACGTAAACAGTACGGCTATATTCATAAATAATTTCAGCAAGTGCATAATAATTACGATCCGAAGCAATAACAAGATATAGATAGGTATAATATATAAGTATATAAATAAGCCTTTGGTATATGTAGGTATATTATATCGAACAACCAACGTTTGGATATTGAACTGGCTCAAAATAAATTTGTACTAAAAGAGAAAACTTTCTTTATTTACCTATGATCGGTAGCATTTTGTTACCTTTCAGGTCGTTCCAATATCCAAACATGTCATTATTTAAAATAAAAATTTATTCAGGTTCGTTAAGGCGCAATCGAGCAAAGTCTTCGAAAACAATATTGTCATCATCATCTGCATAGCAGCTGTTTTCATAACGCGACCTTTCAATCGATTTCATCTTTTTGAGAGCGTTGCTCTTCTCCTTTTCAACACTTCCCGGTGCTGGATGAAGAAGTTTAAGTGGCACATCGGTAACCAGTTCTCCTCCAAGGGTACCGCAGTTTACTCTCACTCGTACAGAGTAAGAGATGACGATACCAATAGCTTCTGCTGGACATTTGCCTTCTGGTACCAATGTGGAACTGGCAAGGTTCACGTCTTCGTCTTTTAGATATCCGTCCAAAGCGATTCCACGGCGATCTTTGTTGCTGGACGCTAAAGGCACCAGGTAAAATACTTTGGTGAAGTTGGCACCTGGCGTAATAGGACACCCTTCGCGCGTCTCCATACTTGCGACGTATTTGGAAAATTGGTTGTTGACCATAGTTATTTCGCAGTGTTGAACAACGAATACTTTGATATTTTTGACGGATTTTCTTGAGTTGTTGCTTATCATAACTGTGGCCGCTACTTTTTCGCCGTGGTAGTAGATGTCCTTGTCTAGGGTTACCTCCAGGTTGATTTTTCCGCTAGAAAAGGTGAACCCTTTAGACACGAGGGAGCTCGGAAGTCTGCGGTTTCTGGATGGAGGAGCATATTGCAATTTCTTGATTGCCAAGGTAACTGTGCTCCTCTTATGACCCCTGTCGTCGGTATGCTCACCAACGTAAATCTTCAAGGTGTATTCGACACCAAGAGGTTTGCCTTGGTCATCTTCACCCGGCTGGAGAGTAACTGAAGAGGGCGACATTTCGGGGAATTTGAAGGTGAACGGAAAAGCATTTGGGCCGAACTTCTTCACTAGTTTTTCTTGAATTTGGGTGAGCTTTTCTTTTTCGTCGCTGCCAGGTAAGGGTGCTATCTGTCCGCTGGCAACTACCATTTCTTTACTGAACTTGACCCCCATGACCTCATCTTCTTCCCGACCATATCGGTAGGTCGTGATGACCTGACCGAATACCCTACGCCCATTGAGGTAGTCTTTTTCGACGACGACGACTCCATCGATAGGTTCAGTAAAATCTAAGTGATCTAGAAAGTCTCGTTTACCAAGGTAGACGGTAAGCTTACCATTGGGTGTTGTCTTTTTGAATACTTTGACAGCAACCACCATTAGAATAGGCTGAGGTTTGGAGATTTACTCGGTGAACACACAAAAACTATATGTTTTGCTTAGGTTACGTTCGGAACTCGAACTGATGGTTAGGCATTGCAGGACGTCGCATTTATAAAGGGCTTTAACAAGATTTCTGTTTATGCCATTAAACGAATTATAGTAAACGGATTATTGCGCAAAATGTCATGTCTTAAATTACCTTTTTTACGTAAGCAAATTTGTCTTTTATGGTTCATTTGCTATGGCAAAAAATATCATGTGTTTACGATTGAAGAAATTATGTACACTCGAACCAATAGTATATTTCCTTTTGTTTACTTTGTTTTAATTAATCGAATTCAAAAATTAAGAAAATAAAATAAATTTATCGCCACAATGACATAGTCGAATACCTACCTACATGACAATTAGTTTATTTTTATGATTTTTAAGTGCCCTACAGAGCACGATTCGAAATTTTAAATATGTTGTATTGGTTTTCGTTGATTTTAATGAGCTTAACATTACCTTTTCTTTTACAGTGTCAAGGTTCCTTAGTCGTACTTGATGATGTTATGGATAATTCAGAAACTCGTAGAGGAGTGCCGTGCTGGTATAGAAACCCCAACATTGGTTTGAGTGCCATCAATGACGGTCTTCTCATTAGAAGTGGAATATATTCTGTTTTGCGTAAATATTTTGCGACGCATCCAAGTTACGTATACTTGATGGAATTGTTCAACGATACCTTCTTAAAGACGGAAATGGGACAAGCATTAGATACCATGTCTCAGCATGATGGTAAACCCAATTTAGACGCATTTACCATGAAGAGATACAATGCTATAGTGAAATACAAGACTGCCTATTATTCATTCCACTTACCTGTTGGTCTAGCCATGTATTTAGCAGGAATGTACGATCCTGAACAGCATAGACAAGCCAAGACCATTCTTCTTGAAATGGGACATTTCTTCCAGGTTCAGGTAAGAAATATAAAAATATTGTACTATAAATTACATAACGCAAAATTCGTAAATTTCGCAGTCAACTTTCTGATTATAAAACGTTAGGTCACGCAAATCCTGACTCCCACTTCCTTCCGTATAATAGGTTCGTAATACCAGGTTGCCCCCCCCCCCNTGACTCCCACTTCCTTCCGTATAATAGGTTCGTAATACCAGGTTACCCCCCCTGCCCTAAAATTGATGCAAATGATGTATCTTAGTGTTATGGAAAAAAAAAACTATCAACTATCACTAAAGGAACTTGCTTCATAATATAAAATACTTAGAAATCTATGAAACCTTTAAAAATACTTTTTTCTTAAGTTAATACTTTTTCTACTATTCTATGTTAATACTGTAAGTCTATTATTAATTGCAATATGTAAAGGTGCACGATAAAGAAGATCAAAGATTGTTTCATAAATTATTAAAATTTTGTATGCAAAAGTTATATTGTATATACGCGTAAAATATATTTACTGTCTTTGAAATATTCTAAAATGAATACCCGCACGTTGTTTGTAATCAATGATTTTACCTAAAGCATCCTTGTGTTTTAGTTTAGTTTTTATATATATAAACCCATGCTCCTTTCATATCGTATCACTCACAATCATATATTTATACAAGATACTTTTGAAATACTGGTCTGTAAGAACGCAGAATTTTTTCGGTTCAAAATTTCACGAAAATACATTATCCTGTGGCGTGTGTTGTAGTTACGAACGCGTGAACCGTGTAGCCAGTCATTCCGCATTCTTTTACGAATGTAGAATTCCTAAAAATTTAATTTAATTGAGCTGCAGTAAAAAAAATTAAAAATACTGCTTTTATTTGTCCACAATTTATTTATAGGTTTTTCTTATTTGTAGGACGACTTTTTGGACGCATTTGGTGATCCTGAAGTAACTGGTAAAATAGGAACGGATATAAGAGATGGAAAATGTTCTTGGTTAGTAGTGGTAGCTTTGCAGAGGGCAACTCCTTCTCAAAAAAAGATCATACTAGAAAACTATGGAAAGGCGGATCCTGAAGCCGAAAATGCTATCAAAAAATTGTATGAAGATATTGGACTGCCTAACACATTTGCAATTTATGAAGAAGAAAGTTACAATATGATTAAAACTCACATTCAACAAATTTCAAAAGGTCTACCTCATCAATTATTTTTCGACGTTTTGAATAAGATATATAGGAGAACGATGTAATCACATAAGAAAATGAAGTGAGTTCACTGTTGAGTATATTATACGAAAACAACATGTAATAAATAGACTGACATTATTTTCGTTATATATTTCTAAACTGTGTAGTGAAAGAGCAATAGATCAGTAAGTGTATTTTATTAAGGGGGTCAATTCTGTGTGTAATTTTGTGGTAAATACATTTTTTTTATTGTTTTGTAAATAAAGTATTGTAGATTGATGTAAATTTTTCACTTTTGTATGTGTTTTTAGTTTTTTATTTTTGTTGATTTGTATAGCTATTTAGAGTATGCTTGTTTCTTTAATTATTTTACTGTAATGTAATGTTTACGTATTATTGAAATATAATAATGTTTTTTACTCTGTTGTACGTTTAATAAAAGCCCTGATGAAGCGTAGCATTGTAAATGTGTTAAAAGAATACAAATAAAGAGGGACTGAAAGTTAACATACATGTAAATGATCTCGGGTTTAATGTAAATGGTTATGTTCAGTGTGCTATCGTTTTTTTGGAAACTACTGTTTTTTCATCACAGTTTTATGGCGACATCTACCCGTTAAAACTAGAATCACTTAAAGTGACACTTGACAGTATAGTAATGGCGAATACGAGTTGGACGAAAACAGCTAAAAAGTTTAACTGGAATTCAAACTTTTTGTTTACACGATAGAACAAGTTCTCACAGTAAAATATTAAGGAGATACGTTTATTTAAAACAAGTGGTCTTATTACTGTTTTTAATAGATAGAGTGCATTTATAGTTTTATGTTTATTATGATAATCGTTCGATAAAACTTTAGTCAGACAGAATAATTCGAAATCGTACGATAATTTCTTTTTTGAACTTAGTTATGCTGAGTATTGGTTATTTTGATGACACGTAGTATGGCGAATTTGAATTTCACAAGAAGCATTGGTGGTAACAGCCTTGGTCGATCAAATGTGGGGTTTGGAAGCAATTCTATGTCTGGGCATGTAACACCTGTATTTGGTCAAAGGGCACCTGCAGATAGAAGAGGAATGCCTGCCTTGAGGTTTGATTA